ATGCGGGGCAACGACAGGGGAGGGCTGGAGGAACATCGACACATAATCGGCGACATATCACCGATGGGCCCCCCATGGCGAATCCGCGCGTTGATGGGCGCGGTGGGGTAATCAGCCCCTTATCGGCGATCAGTGGGCCATTAGGTGTCGCTGCATTCGACTCGTGAGAAGCCTGGGCCACTCCTGGAATAAATCTTACCAGGTCGTAACACAAATATGTTTGCTACTACGCCCTGCAGATTTCATTGGAGCGCGTTTCTTTATGTTCGGCGATGACAGGAGGCATGGGGGGGGGGAGGGTGGGGGGGGGCATGACGTGACGCCCCCCCCCCCCCCCCGCCGTGTGGCTCCGGCACCACAGCCGCGCCCGCGCGCACGACGCGACGAGCGACGAGCGACGACGCGAGCAGCATGTAACTGGCGATCTGCCCATTGCGCCTGTGTACACCACAGCGCTCGCGTGCACCACACCGCGCGTGTGCACCACAGCGCATGCGTACACCGCAACAGCCGTGTGCAACGCACCGCCCGTGTATACCACAATACTTGGGAGCACTACAGCGCAGGTGTACATACACCGCAGCAGCCATGTGCAACACAACGCCTGTGTACACCACAGTGCTTGCGTGCACCGCAGAGCTTGTGCACGCTACAGCGCCTATCTACACCACAACTTCCGCGTGCAACGCAGCGCCGGTGTACACCACAGTGCTTGCGTGCAGAGGACAGGTAGGAGCATGTACGTCAGGATCTGCTGCGGACAACTAAACGCCACGCCAGGAGAATTCTGAGAATCGAATGCGACGTTTTTCCCTCCGCCCTCCTTCACCACCACCTCCTCCACCTCCTCCTCCTCCTCCTCCTCCTCCTCCTCCTCCTCCTCCTTCTTACCCCCTGTCGTGCGGCTTGGCGTTAAAACGCACGTGCGCATCTCAGCGTGCACCGCAGAATGGTCGATTGAATCGGTCCAGTTGGTTCCCGGACGGCCAGTTTAGCAGGAGCCTCCTGGACGCAAATGGGAGTTAGGGTGATGCGGGCGGACTCGGGGGGACTCGTAGATTCCATCGGCGCTCCTTTCCATGAGGATTTGTTTTCCATTGTTTTCTCTGGAATCCAAGCGCGTTCCATTTTGTCACAATGAGTCCTTCTGAAATTCTATACACAAAAATGGTGCTGTGTTGCACACGGCTGATGTGGTGCACACAGGCGCCGTGGCGTACACAGGCACTGCAATGCACGCAAGCATTGTGGTGTACACTGGTGCTGTGTTGCACACGGCTGATGATGTGGTGTACGGAGGCGGTGTGGTGTACACAGGAACTGCTGTGCCCGCAGGCACGATGGCACAAACTGACGTTGTATTGCACGCGGTTGCTGTGGTGTACATCGGCGGCATGGTGTACACATTCGCTGTGGTGCACGCGGGCACTGTGATGTACACAGGCGTTGTGGTGCATATCGCCACCTACATGTTCGTGCTACCCGTCCTCCATCATTCCTAAACCCTGCAAGAGATAAGTCAAGTTAGAATTCCTCGGAGCTGCAGACACATTTTCCTTAAAACAATTAAAGACAGGATACAAGCATTCCCAGACCCGCCGGCGCGAAAAGTGACGACATCGACCCCCCTCACCCCCTCCACCCACAGATGATTGCCGTTCATCGGCCCGGACTTAAAAAACCAGGTTCCACCAACCACAGGTTCCAACAGCCACGTCCGCCGCGATCCGGCGCGGACCACAAGAGAGCAACAGAGTGACGAAAAAAAAAAAAAAACGGAAAGAAAAAAAAGAAAAAGAAAAGAAAAAAAAAAAAAAAAAGGCGACGAAAAAAAACGCCAACGTCGAAGCGACGAACTCGGATGACGACCGACGAAGGACGGACGAACGGAACGACGACGACGACGACGACGACGACGACGACGACGCCTGCGGACCAGACACCTATGCGGATTCCTACGCGGACACCTACGCGGATCCCAATGCGCACGGCGGCCGTGCCCCGAGCGCACTGGGGGGGGGGAGCGTTACGTCTTTTGGGGGGGGGAGGGGGGGGAGCGGGGGCCATGACGCCCGTCATGCCCCAAGCAATAAAGAAACGGACTCTTATTGGGGGAGGAGGAGGAGGAGGAGGAGGAGGAGGAGGAGGAGGAGGAGGAGGAGGAGGAGGAGGAAGAGGACGAGGAGGAGGAGGAGGAGCAGGAGGAGAAGGACGAGGACGAGGAGGAGGACGAGGACAAGGACGAGGACTAGCAGGAACAGGAACAGGAGGACGAGGAGGAGGAGGAGGAGGAGGAGGAGGAGGAGGAGGAAGGAGGAGGAGGAGGACTACCCTCGAGCCCCCCGCGGCCAGAGGATGTCTTTTTGTGAAGGCAGGCGAGGCAGCGAGCCCAGCAGACGTTGCGGGGCCAGCGACTGTGCAGTGGTGAGGCCGAGACCGGCGAAACGAGATCAAACGTTAAAACCGTACACCAGAACGGGATTGAAAAGAGAGGGGGAAGGAGGCGACAGGGGGGGATGGTGGGAGTTTGAGCAAGGACGGCGGCGAACAAAGTCGCCGTGCGGCCGCTCTCCTCTCGCTCATTGCTTCCCGTTCTGAAAACTGCACAGCACTACCCTCGAGCCCCCCGCAGCCAGACGATGTCTTTTTGCGAAGGCAGGCGAAGCGGCGAGCCCAGCAGATGTTGCGGGGCCAGAGACTGCGCAGTGGCGAAGCCGAGACCGGCGAAACGAGATCAAATGGAGATCAAATCCGTGCACCCGATCCTGCAGGTCCGACTGGCCGCCAGGCCGCACACCCCCAGACCTCTGAGCTCAGACCTGCGTCAGGCAAAACAGACCAGGATCACGAAGCGATTCCAGAAATTTGCTGAAGCCTAGAGGTCCGAAAAGACTCCGCTATACTTACAAGGGCGGAAGCGGCAGCCGAGGCGAACTTGGGGGGATATGGGGTAGCTATTTGCGTCCAATCCGCCGGCCCCCTTGTGGGGCCACCAGGCTGCAGGACCGTGATTCGCAGTTTCCTGTACCAGTCGTAGGTTGTAGTTTCCAGTGTTACAGTTCTGCTTCTTGCTGGTTACTGTAACTAGTTAACTTCTTGTTGGTTACTGTAACTAGTTGATTGACCGCGCGAGGGGGGGGGAGGCCCAAACAAGACTTTTAGCGTCTCCTGGGCGCGTTGTCTGAATTGCTGGGGGGGCTCGAAATCGACACCCCTCGCGCAGATCCGCGGGGTCAGGGTCCAAAAACACAAGGGATTTGCTACATGTCTGAAATTCGGTGCCACCCCTCACGCAGATCCGCGGGGTCAGGGTCCAAAAACAAAAAGGATTTGCAACATTTCTGCAATTCGGTGCCACCCCTCACGCAGATCCGCGGGGTCAGGGTCCAAAAACACAAAGGATGTGCTACATTTCTGAAATTCGGTGTCACCCCTCACGCAGATCCGCGGGGTCAGGGTCCAAAAACACATGGGATTTGCCACATTTCCGAAATTCGGCGCCACCCCTCGCGCAGATCCGCGGGGTCAGGGTCCAAAAACACAAGGGATTTGCTACATGTCTGAAATTCGGTGCCACCCCTCACGCAGATCCGCGGGGTCAGGGTCCCAAAACACAAGGGATTTGCAACATGTCTGAAAGTCGGTGCCACTCCTCACGCAGATCCGCGGGGCCAGGGTCCAAAAACACAAAAAGGATTTGCTACATTTCTGAAATTCGGTGCCACCCCTCACGCAGATCCGCGGGGTCAGAGTCCAAAAACTTATGGGATTTGCCACATTTCTGACATTCGGTGCCACCCCTCGCGGAGATCCGCGGGGTCAGGGTCCAAAAACACATAAGATTTGCCACATTTCTGAAATTCGAACCCATCACGCACATCCATCGCAAGGCGTGGTTACCCGAACTGCGAGAACTCCCTCGGCCCTTTAATCGCAAGGTGTGGTAACCAAGCCCTTAAACCATACGCGTCTTACCAATCGCCAGGCGTGGTAACCCCTCTTGTGATCAGTTGGTTTTGCTGATTGCGACTCGGCTTCGCATGAAGTTTCGGCACTGCTTCGCGACAGCGCCAAGGCCTCATGACTTAGCTCTTCCACGGCCCATTCTCCGATAGAGGGGGCCGGCGGCAGGGGGCGAAGCCCTTGCGGATTATCATTCGTTCCTGGTGCGTTGCCAGATCGGATGATGCGAGGTCTTCCCGAGCGCGCAGATCTTGCGGCAGGCATGGCGCGATTGAAGGGATATGCGGGGCGTTCCACGAGGCAATATGCGTGGCCTTCCTCCACAGGGTGCCGTACTCACAGAAATCAACTTTGCGAAGGAGGAAAGCGTCGTGCCTGGCAAATTGCATGAAGGGAAGCATCGGCCATTTCTGTGATGCGCGCGGGTTCTCAAGGAAGACTGGGCAATCAACAACCAGAGTGGCCTGCGCGATCTTCATGCTGGCCTTGAAGTTTGCGTTGCCCGACGCCAGACGGGCCCGCTCTGAGTTTGAAAGGTTTGGCAGCCCCCGCGGGAAATCCAACGACCTGAGAGGTCTCCGCAACGCTCGACTGAACGCGGTAAAAGGGGCCCCCATCCAGACGCCAATGACTGCCCGAGAACGGATCCAACCTTCCGAAACTTTGAAAACACAAGGCCTGGCGACGTCCTCCCAAGAGCCCCTGAGAATATCCAGCGAGATGGCCCCGTACCTCAATTTCCTGACATTGTCTGACAAGCGGCTGCTGCCCGAGAGAAGCCCCAAGAAGATGCATCGGTTGAACTTCTCAGCCCTGCGACGCTTTCGTTGGAAGAGACGATGCAAGTGGCAACTGCTTCCTCATGCGAGCAGCTCATCGCTTTCGCCGACGTCGAAGGCACGGGGCCTCTCCCGCGCGGGCAATGCCCCCGCTAACCTCCGCCGCCCCCAGCCGAGCTCTGATCTCCAGGGGGATCTTTGGCCACAGACGGCGATCGCGAAGCCCCGACTGCAGGGCCACGCTGAAGTTGCTCGCACCAACTGGCCGAACGAATACACCGCCCGCGGCGCCTTGGCCATCTCCATGAGCAGGCGCCAGCCCCGGAGGCTGCGCTGGCCCCGCCGCTGTCCGCGGCGCTCGACCTCTGCCATGGCCCGCCTCTTGGCGGCCAAGTCGCCCGACGCCCCGCCGCGCCCCATGCTGTGCATGTGGGGCCTGAGAGACCGCAAATCCAGGGGCCCTGCGCGCCGGCTGAAGAGCTTGCGAAGCCCCGCCGGCTCGAAGCCCCGCGCGCTTGGCTGCCCCGCGGTCGCCCCGTTCAGGGCCTCTCGGGCCTCCAGCAGCCAATGGTCCAGATCCGCCAGCACGGGGCCGCCCCGTTCGCCCGTCTTGCCGGCCCCCCCGCCAAAGGCGCTGATCAGCACCCCCCAGTGGACGCGCTGGGGGCCCGCCGCGGGCGACGGCCTGACCAGCTGGTCGGGCCGCAGCTTGAAAGCCTCCTTCGGTCGCAGGGGGGCGGCGAACGCCAGGGCTATCCAGATCACCGCGCGCGGCTGTTTCATGAAGCACAGGGCGCCCGCGATGGCGAGCTCTGCCACCTTGGGCAGCGGAAGTCGCTGCGAGCCTGGGACCCCCCTTCTTCCTAGACGCACGTGCCCCCGAAGACCTTGGCAATCGGGCCATGAGGGGCCGGTAGAGCTCGAGCGCAAAGCGGGCCAGGGCGGCCAGCAAATTGCTGCCCTTGTCGGGCAAGTGCCCAACAGCCTGTCCACGCGCGAGGTCACGGCTAGATCCAGACCCTCCGCAATGGACCTATCGAGGCTCAAGTGGGGGCAGTAGTCCACGAAACCTCGCGGCAGCGCTCGGCGGGCAGCGCCCGCCGAGACCGCCACGCGCTGCAGCAAGGTCAAGCGGCCGCTTGGTGGGCGGGCGGCGCGCGCCAGGCTCGCCGCGGCCGCCCAAGCCACCAAAGCTGGAGGCCGCGCCGCTGGCCGCCGCATGGGGGCCCGCGAGAATCAAAAGGCATCGGCACCCAGAGCGCGATCCCGAGCCTGTGTGCCACCCTCGACCCTGCGCCGCCAGCGCCCACTGCGTCGGCCTATTTTTGTCCGCGACCTCTGGCTTCAGCGAGCGGGCGCAGACCGCGACTCCGTAGGCGCAGGCGCCCGAGCAGGCAACCGCTGGATGCCACTTCGCGGCGAGATTACAGCGCAGAAGCGGCGGAAGATTTCGCGCCTGCCACAACTCGCGCAGCACGGAAGGCCAGGTGTCCACCACCTGAGTCGGGTTGGCAACAATGAAAGCGCAGGAGGCATCCAGGGCCACCAGGGCCACCCTCTTCAGTGGACAGGCCCAAGGACCATGGCCAACCAGGACCTGCAACAAAGCCCCGCTGCACCAAAGACAACTGATAACCTCCTCGACCTACCCAACCAAAGCCTTCAGATGTCCCGCCTCTCGATGCTAGGACGTGTACCCTGGGGCAGCTTCGCGCCCAAGAATGCGCAGTCAACGGGCCCCTCCTCCAACTCATGAACCACGAGGCCCTTCTCCGTAAGGATGGTTGCAATAGATTGCATAGACGCAGTAGTCTCATCGCGATCGTGGTCAACCGTGAAGAAATTGCCAACGCACGCGGCGCTGCCGACCTGTTGCGGGCCTGAACAGGCGCACGCCTGCCGGGCCGCCCTCGATCAGACAGCCCCCGGAGAGCTCAGCCTCGGCGGTGCTGTTTCGGAGAACCCCTCGGCACAAATGCATGGCCCAGGACCGCCCCACTGGAAGAACGGGGAGGCAACTCCGCCCAGGAAGAAAACTTTCACGAGCGTGGAGTCGATCACCGAGAGCGAGAAATATCCTCCCATCCCTGGCGGCATCCCCAGTCGGTAAAAGGCGCAGTCCGAATCTCCAGACGCACCACGCGGGCCCCATCCGATGTCTGCAACGACGAGAATGCGCTTGATATAAGCAGCCGGGTGCTCGGCGGTGTCTTGAATTACGCGCTGACAAACCTCGCGTCGAGAATGATCCGCAGTGGGCCGTTTTTCCTGGCCACAAGCAAAAACCCCTCAGTTTCCCCATCGCGCCCAGCTGCCACCTTCCACCCAGGCATTCCACGCTGAAAGAGGCGCAGAAGACACTCTGCATAGGTGGAGGCCACTGCTTCAACGCGCTATCAACAGAGACACCGCGCGGGCTGACCTCTCGCTGCAAGGGCGCAGCCTCCTGCTCAGTCCTCAGCAACTTTTCGCGCCAGCCGCCGAGCCGCTTGCGATCGGCCGGGCCGAAAGGCCCCGCCAAGGGGGTCGGCTTCGCCCCCGGCTCGGGCCAGGGCGCAAGATCCCTGTCAAACGGGCGGCGCGGGCCTAGGTCCGAGGAGCAGACCGAGGACCCGGCAAGAAGCGCGCTGAGGGCTTCCTTGCCAAAAGGAAAATCACACGGGGCAGGGCCGACCTGGGCGCGCGGCCGAATAATGCCTTCTAGAGCCTGGGCCTGGCTAGCGTTGGCAGGAGCGGAAGGGCGCAAGGAAGGGGAAAAGCCAGGCTGGCTAAACTCGAGCGAACGATCGACAAGGGTCCCGGGCGGGCCCGGCAAAGCTCTCGAACGCCCGTGTAGCACATTCAAACTTTGGATCGCATCATCAGTCCAATCCAAGGAAGCCGCGGCCATGCGACGGCGCCGAACGGTGCCGCGGACCTCCTGCCCAGTAGGCGCAGCGCACGGCCGTCGGAGAACCGAAAGAAGAAGGGAGATGTCACGGAGCCCCCAGAGCTGCGGCGGCGCCCCCTGGGCCGCCGAAGAAACTACTGGCCGTTGCCGGCGCCGGCGCCCTGGGAGTCGTTCGGCTTGCCAGGCTTGCCCTCTGGTCGTGCTAGCTGCCGTTCCTCCCTGGCCCTCCGGCGCTCCTTCATCACCGCGCATTCCTTTGCCAACTCCGCACTTATCCACTCCTGGAGGAATTGGCGCGCGCAACAGCTTCCGCGCGCCATGTCACTGCCGCAGTACAGCATCAGTGTCGTTGTTCCCCGCCAGCCGATCCATGCATTTCTCCTCGATGAGCTGGAGACTGCGCGCCGCCAGCTCCGCCGCCGCCACATCTGGCACATTGACCTGATCGCAACAGGCCAAAGTTTCAATGAGGCGGCAGGCCTGTTCGCGCTCGGCGACTCCCCGATCGCTGGCGCCGAGCCGGCAGTCAGTCCGCCAGCGGCTGCGCCGCGCTAGCGGGGGGCCCCCGTCGGCGACCCCAGCGCCGGCGGCCGCCGGGGCAGGTGGCACCAGAGCACCCGCGGCCGCAGCCTCAGCGGGAGGGGCAGCCGAAACCCAACCCCTCTGCGGCGGCGTCTTGCAAGGCGCCTGCGGCCGCCGGCAGCGGGGGGCGCAGAAAACGGTAGATGCGGCCCCCGGGCGCGAAGCCAGCCGCGCCGCCGATCGTTCCGCCGGGCAGGCGGCCCCGCCGCGGCACATCTGCCCCGAGGGCCAAGTCCTCCTCGCACGAGACGTCGTCGGGGGTCAACGTCGTGGCCAGCGAGGCGCCGCCAGGCGGCATGTAGATCACCACTCTCCCGTGCCAGCTGCGAGGCCCCCCCGCGCTTCCAGAAAGTCGCCCACCTGCAAGCCATGGCTGCCGATCAGCTGGCGGGACGCCCCCGCTGCCGCTGCCGCCGCCATCCCTGTAGCGCCGCTTCAGCATGGCCAGCTGCTGCCTCGCCTCGAGCGCCAGCTGGTCCTCGTCACCAAGCGGGGAGGCCGACAGCGCCTGCCCGGCGGGATTCGGGCCCCCCCCGACGCGCGGGCAGGAGGAGCGCCGCTGCGCCCGCAAAGCGCCCAGGAGCCCCGGGCACCAGAGGGCGCCGCCCAGCAGGCCCAGGAGGCAGCGCACGATGGCCACCAGCAGGTGCGTGAGCACAAGGATGTGGAAGGTCAGCTGCCGCGGGGCGCTGATGATGCTGCCCAGGCCACGCTCCAGGCGGCAGCCAGGGCAGGGCGGGCAGTGCAGCTCGGGCGCGGAGCTGCAGGGCGGGCAAGGAGCAGTGGAAACGCGCAGCACCAAGCTCGTGGACAGCCCCCAGGCCAACTCCGCGACGGCCGAGCGGATCGCGGCCTGCATGCCCGCCCCTCACCCGAGGTCTGCAGGGTGCCAGCTTGAGCAAGGGCGGCGGCTGACTCAGTCGCCGCGCGGCCGCTTTCCTCTCGCTCAGCCTTCCCGTTCTGAAAACTGCACGGGGGGGGGGGGGCGGAGGAGGACCGGGGGGGAGGAGGAGGAAGAGGAGGGAGGACTGTTTCTCGGACTGCGCTGTTTGCCCCGAGGCCAAGTCGCAGCACGTCCAAAGAAGAAGCGCAACCACCTCCCCCACGGAAACACGGCCCCGTAGACACCACGGCCACGCAGAGGAAAAGGAGGAGGAGGGAGGGGGAGGAGGGGGAGGAGGAGGAGGCAAGCTAGGTGCGATCGCGTCATATCTGACATCCTACCCCTCCCTCCCATCCCCTACCATGGCGCAGATCCCCTCTCTACTCGCACAGTCGGATGTCGAGCAGGGCAATGATCCCGAAAGGGTACGCGATGCATTGTAGAGCACGGCGTGGCATGGCGTAGAAGAGCACCGCGAAGCGTATTATCAATCTAGCATTGCATTGCATGCCGTGGCATGGCACGGGAAATGACGCCAGCGCTGCAGCGGGAGCACGAGTCGAAACGAGGGGAAGCGCGGAAATGAGGCCAACGCTGCAGCGGGAGCACGATTCGGAACGAGCGGAAGCACGCCAGAATCGGCCCGGGAGGCTCCCGGGCGCCAGAAGCAGAAATTCAGCATTCTCAAATGTATTGGAATTGCCTTTTTTCGGCGCCGCCTCGGAGCTCGATTTTCTGGCGCCGGCCGGAACCAGCTCCGGACCCGGCCCGGGCGCCGGCCCAAGCACTGGCTCGGGCGTCCGGCCCGGGCGCCGGCTCGGGCGCTGGCCCGGGCGTCGGAATCGGCCCGGGAGGCCTCCCGGGCGCCGGAAGCAAAAATTCAGCATCTTCAAAAGAAAAATGTGTATTCGAATGGTTTTTTTTCGGCGCCGCCTCGGAACTCATTTCTGGCGGCGCCAGAACCGGCTCCGGACCCGGCCGGAGCGCCGGCCCGGGCGCCGACTGCTCGGGCGCTCAGCCCGGGCGCCGGCGGAAATGATGCCAGCGCTGCACCGGGAGCGCGATTCGAAACGAGCGGGGCCCGAAGATCGATGAGGCCGGCGCCTCAGCGAGAGCAGCATTTGGGGAAAAATGCAAGCGAAAACCCAACTCCGGAGAAACCTGTGTACGCGGGGGGGGGTCGAATACTCCCAAGCCGTCATCAGGGGAAGAGGGAGAGTAGTACTCATATTGAGTAAATGTAAAGGAGGAGCAATGAGCAATGAGCAACGCGCGGGGAGTTCACATGAGTAGCTCGAACTCATTCCAATAAACATGGGAAGAACTCAGCGCAAACCGACTTCGAGGCGTGCGGGTTAACTGCGTGAAAGACGGGGGGGCCCCGCTGGCGGGGCCAGCGCCGCCCCCGAACGGTGGCGAACCCCCATGACGCCACGCAGGCGCACTGGGGATAACCACCGAGGGGACCAAACTAGATGCTCCAAACGGGGCGGGAATGATTCCTCGGGCCACTAAACTGGCCAAGCGCTCACTACCCGAGAAAGCCCCTTTACTTGAAGTCAAGTTCGTGCTGCTACTCATCCTATCTCTACCTCGGCCTCTGCTCCTACTCCTCCCTTTCCTCGCTCAGTTGGTAAGGATGCTTTGCCCGCTGCTCTCGTTGGCTCATTTCTTCTCGATCGCGTCCAGGAGGCGGGCCGCCTCGCGCTCGAGAGGGCCCCTCGGGGCAGGACCCACCAACTGCACTGCCTAGGCGATCTCGTGGTTGAGGTACCAGATGAGGATCTCCTGGGCCATCGTAACTCAAGGCGAACGTCAGGCGGCCCTTCTTGCTGCCGCTGCTGGCTGCTGCTGCTGCTCCCTGGCTGCTGGCTGCAGCGCTGTCCGCCTCCGCGTTCTTCCTGCCCTTGTGCTTCCGATAGCGGAAGTGGAGCACATGCTTGCCCACCGTCGTCGGCTCCGCAGACTGGACGTACTTCGCGAAGTACTCGTGGCATTTCTTCTTCTTCTCGTCCTCGAAGTACTCTGGTTTGCCGTCCAGGAAGGCCGCCGCGTTGTTGCTGAGAAAGAGCGAAGCGGCGGCCCACATCTGGACGCGTGGGGGTCCTCGAACACGGAAGTCTACCCTTTTCTCCTGCTCTTTGTCGTTCTTTCATGCTTCTGGATGTTTCGTCGTGCTTGATGCCCGACTGGATCATGATCTCGCCGATGCCTCCCCCCGATCCGGCGAGCTCCCACGTCTGGAGCACAGGTGCCCGCGAGGTTCGCGAGCTCGCGCGGCGAGGAGAGGCACAGCTTGGTGAGGAGGAGGACGCGCGCGGTCATGACGTCCTTCCCACCCTTCTCGCCCTTGCGGCGGCCCTCGGCGTGCTTCACTTGCTGTTCCCCCGAGGCATGGTCCCCAAGCGCGCGCTTCGCGTCCGCCGTCGCCTGCGTCCAGGCCGCGGGCGCCAGCCCCCCCATCGTCTGTAGGGCTTAGCTGTGCGCGTCGCCGACCGGTAAGGACTGGGCCAGGCAAGTGGCTACGTAGATGCTGACGAAGTTCATCCAACTCAAATGCTTCGTGCTCACACTGGGCGCGTGACAGCGACGAGGGAGGCGCCAGAGGTCTAAGCGTTCGAACCGACAGTGTCCCCGTTGCGCGGCAAGCACCATATGTCGAGCAGCACAAGCCTTGTCCCATAATACTTCCCTACAACAGATGCAGGTGTTGCATGGCGTGAGAACATGACATGGTGAGCGGGGGTCGTGACGTGAACGCATGTGTGCCATGAGGCCTTTCCGGGTCTCGAACGCCTCCTCGCACCCCTCGAGCTGGCATCGAAATTCGTTCCCCGCCTCATTCATATACATCCTCTGCGGCGATCACGTGCTCCTCCTCCTCCTCCTCCTCCTCCTCCTCCTCCTCCTCCTCAATGAAACCAGGGGGCGTACTAGCCGATCCAAAAAAACATCCTCGTATGATCGTGAAGCCAATATTCAAGAAGGCAGGTCGAACGTCGGGGTCCCACAAGAGCCCAGGTCGATTAAAGATTTCCCCGAGCAAGTCCTCGTAGTCACGAATATGTGCTTGTGCCCAACGGAGGTCCTCCACCACTCTCGAGGCCCACGGGGAAGCCTTAAGGGTCAGGTAACCATCAATCATTGGTGCAGCCCCGTTCTCAAAGCCTACCTTCCCAAAGAGCCCCGAGAGAAACTGGGCGTGACTGTTCGGATGAGCCGGCCAGGATTTGTACCAATTCAGGCGGCGAATACCGAGTTCGACGAAGGTCTCGTATATACGCCAATGTTTTAGCACTGCTTTGTTCGTGAGCGTCAGTGTCGCTCCCGCCGCAGTCACCCAACTGGCACGTCCTCGCATGCAGGGAGGAGGAGGAGGAGGAGGACGACGAGGAGGTCGACGAAGAGGACGAGGAGAGAGGTAGACGACGAGGCCGAGAGGAGAGGGAGGGAGGAACACGGACAGGGAGGGAGGAGAGAGGAGGGAACACGAGGAGGGAGGAGGACGAGGACGAGGAGGGAGGCGGGAGGAGGGAGGCGGGAGAAGGATCTCAGATCTCAGGTGATGGCGAGGCCCTCGCGTGGGGGCCACGCCCTCAGAAGGAAAACGACGACGGCAGCGACAGCGCACGACGGAGGAGGCGGCGAAGGCAGCGACGGCGAAGGACGGAGGAGGCGGCGGCGCTGGAGGGAAGCACGTTTTCCCAGCAATCTGAATCAGAACTGATAGCAGATCGGGCGTTGCTAGAAGTGCCCCTGGCCCAAGGTGCCCCCAGAACTTCCAGGGAGGCCCCCACGGTCTCCAGAGCACCCCTCACGGGGCCCAGGGGGCCCCATGGGCTCCAGAATGGAGCGAAAAGCTCGACGTCGGCGAGCGAGGGGCCCTGGGGGCAATGAGGGGGAGAAGGCCTTCTCAGAAGGCGGCGGGACTTCTCAGAAGCCCTGGTGCCGTCTGCGAAGTTCTTTCTGTGCCTTCGAGGCAGGCCAAAAAAAAAACTTCTCGGAAGGCTGGGGGACTTCCGAGCCTTCTGAGGAGGCCCGCTCCTCCTCACCTCCCCCCCCTCGCTCGCCGCCGAGCTGGGGGGCACCTTGGGCCAGGGGGCACCTCGGGGGCGGCCAAGAGGGGGGCGTTCAAGAGAGGGGAGCGCAAATCATGGCCGGCTGCATGGGCGCGGCCCGGGGGGGCGGGGCCCGGGACGCATTGAAATGGAGGTGGCGCCGTGAAATCTGGGGAGATCTCATGGCCCCCGCCATGATATCCACCCCCCCTTCTGTGGCAACTCATGGGAGCTTCCCATACCGTCTTGTCGGCTCTTGCGAATCGACGCTAAGTCGACGCTAATCGACGCGAAACCGGCGCTATCTCATCGACTCCCAGACGCTGACCGGCGCTAATCGACGCTGAAAACGAAAGCACGAGCGTACACAAAGCTCCCATGGCCCATGACTTGCTACCGAACCCCCCTTTCACTGCACCGAACTTGCAGACGTGCTGCAGCGGATTTTTGCATGGATTTCTGTCCATGTTAAACCCCGAAGCGGCAAGCGAAAAACGACGTGAATTTCACGCGGATTTGTCTTGGCCTTCATTCCTGGCCAGAACAAATCCGAACGAAATTCACCTCGAAATCTAAAACGCAATTCTCCAGGACACTCCGGGCCCATTCTACTGTTTTCCGAACGAACTCCGCTCTGCAATGTTGGCACCATGACCCCTAGTCTTCACCTCGACGATCTTCTGACCCGGGTCAATCCAGACCCGGGTCAATCCTGCAAAATTCTGCGCCCAAGCCCAGGTCACTTCGCAGGATCCTGTAAGATCCTGCACCCAAACACGGTTCAATGCGACCCTGGACCTGCAGGATCCTGCAAGATCGGGCGCTCTGGCTGACCCCCGTTTGCATTGACCCCCGTCTGAAAGCTCCCGACGGATGGAAACGCGTCCTGAACCCCGAGGGCCTTACCCAAGGGGGGAGCCTTCCGACAAGTCCCTGGGGCCCGTGGAGTGCTCTCGGAGCCCGATCACCCCCCTCCTGGCCGCCCCCTGGGCACCTCTAGTCACCCCCGAGCAGTGGGAGCCCCGGCCGCCGCCGGTGCGCCGCCGGCGAAGCAAAGCGCGCGCCGGCCCTGCGGCGGGGAGGGGCCGCACGCGTGCGACCTCGCCGCCGCGCGGCTGCCCCACCCGGGTGGTGCCAGTTGCCCTGCCCGCGGCGTGTGGCGGGGGCCTCCCGGGCAGGGCCAGAGCTGGGCGGGGCGCCCAGCTTCGCGCTCGCGCGCTGTGCGGAGCGCGAATAACTTCTTCTTCTCCTCCTCCTCCTCCTCCTCCTCCTCCTCTTTCATGATTATTATTACGATGATTACTAGTCGTATTGTAATTATTAATGGTATTGTTACTATTGTTATTATTATTATGATTATTATTATTATTATTATTATTATTATTATTATTATTATTATTATTACTATTATTACTATTATTACTATTATTATCATTATTATTATTAGTAGTAGTATTAGTATTATTAGTATTAGTCTTAGTCTTAGTATTCGTATTAGTATATGTATTAGTAGTATCATTATTATTATTAGTTTTATTATCATGGTTATTATTATTATTCGTGTTATTAATATTATCACTACTATTAGTAGTTTAACATTCTTACTACTAGTATTATTATTATCCTTCTTATCATCATTGTTACTAGTGTTAGTAGTATTATTGTTATTAATATTATTATGTTTCTTATTCTTATTATAACTATTTCCATTATTATTATGATTCGCTTTACCATTAATAATATTACTATGATTTGTATCACTATTTTTATTCGTAGTATTACTATTCGTATTCGTAGTATTACTAGTAGTATTGTTAATAGTATTATCATTATTATGGTTGGTAGTATGACTATTAGTATTAGTATAATTATTGTTAGTCTGATTATGCTTGTTATGCGTCTTCTTATTATTATTATTCCTGTTGTTACTCGTACTCTGATGCTCTTCGTATTGTTATCCCTCTTCTTTCTCTGATTCCTCTTTTTCTGATTCGTAATATTATTCCTACGACTCCTCTTCATATTCCTCTTCCTCTTCCTTTTCCTCCTCTTCCTCCTCCTCCACCTCCTCCTCCTGCTCCTCCTCCTCCTCCTCCCTCCTTCCCTCCCTCCCGCCCTCCCGCCCTCCCGCCCTCACCGCCCTCCCGCCTCCCCCCTCCCGCCTCCCGCCCTCCCGCCCTCCCACCCTCCCCTCCCCCCCCTCTCCCTCCCTCCCCCCTCCCCCCCTCCCCTCGCCGCCCCTCCCGTCCCGTCCAGTCCTGTCCCGTCCCGTCCCGTCCTGTCCCGTCCCGTCCTGTCCCGTCCTTTCCTGTCCCCTCCCCTCTTCCTCCACATTTGCTCAATATGAATACTACTCCCCCTCTTCCCCGGATGACGGCTTGAAAATGTCCGACCCCCCCCGCGTACTGTTTTTTTACACACAGGTTTTCCCGGAGTTAGGTTTTCGCCTGCATGTTTTGGTCAAAATGCTGCTCTCGCTGAGGCGCCGGCCTCATTTTCAAGCCCCGCTTGTTCCGAAAAGTGCTCCCGCTGCAGCGGTGGCCTCACTTCCGTGATTTCGCTCGTTCCGAATCGTGCTCCCGCTGCAGCGCTGGCCTCATTTCCGCGCTTCCGCTCGTTTCGACGCGTGTTCCCGCTGCAGCGCTGGCGTCACTTCCCGTGCCATGCCACGGCATGCACTGCAATGCTAGGTTGATACTACGCTTTGCGGTGCTCTTCTACGCCATGCCACGCCGTGCTCTACAATGCATCGCGTACCCTTTCGGGATCATTGCCCTGCTCGACATTCGACAGTGCGAGTAGAGAAGGGATCTGCGCCATGGTAAGGGATGGGAGGGAGGGGTAGGATGTCAGAAATGACGCGAGCGCACCTCGCTTGCCCCCCCCCTCCCCTTCCCCCCCCTTTCCCCCTCCGCTTCCCCTTCCCCATCCCCCTCCCCCTCCTCCTCCTCCTCCTCCTCCTCCTCCTCCTCCTCCTCCTCCTCCTCCTCCTCCTCCTCATCATCATCATCATCATCATCATCATTTTCCTCTGAGTATTATTATTATTCTTGTTACTATTATTATGATTATGATTATGATTATGATTATTATTATTATTATTATTATTATTATCATTAGCATTCGCATCCTTATTCGTAGTATTCTTATTCGTCGTATTCTTATTATGTGTAATATGTTTCTTAGTCGTAGTTTTATATTTATTTTCATTCTGTTTATTCGTATCAAAACGCTTATTCTTATTAGTATCACCAGAATTATGAATAGTATTCTTCTTCGTATGATTATTCTCCTTCTGCTTATTCATATTATTCGTGTTCTTCTTATTCTTATGCATCCTAATAATATCAGTAGTATTATTCTTATTGGTCTTCATATTCGCAATATGATTAATATGGCTAGTAGTGTTCCCATTATTATTATTATCAGTATTCTTACTAGTATTAGTCTTCTTATTA